ACACACACACACACACCAAAGTGTGTTCATTTATGGATTGAATAGCAAAATGCTTAGATAAATTTAATTTGCTGAATGTTAAATGCCTATAATATCAGTGCCAAGTTACCAATATTTAGGTAAGTGCTGTACACAGCTAAAAGTTTTATGTGCATTCGTTTTTAGTCCTTATGAAAGCATTTTTTAAATCCCTATTTTAGAGCTAAGGAATCTGAAGCCCCAAGAGGTAGAGGAACTTGCCCAAGAGATCACACACCTGAGAAGATACAGAGCCAGGGTTTGAGCCTTGGCAGTTTGGTTTTTCTTTCGTCTAGGTTGTCATGCTGAGCTTTGGATTTGTAAGACTTTTGTTTTATGATAATAGAGTAGTTACATAGTTTGCAAATACTTTGATAATGGGTTGTAGATAAATGTATTTTATCCAGTAATTTAAACTAGGTTGTCCTCCTATGGGTAAGAAAATAGATTTCTATTTCTCATCTGATCTCAGAAAGCTAAGCAGAGTTAGGACTAATTAGGATCGGATGTCGTTTAGCTACTAAATCTTTTCTGAAAGGGAATTAAAGGCAGAAAAGGAAAGGAAAAGGCCTATGTAATTGACAAGTTGACTGTTTAGACCTTTATAATAGAGATTTTTCCATATGCTTTGTTGGAGAGAAGATTCAATGAAGAGATAGGGCACATGACCCTGGGCAAAATCAACCTCCCAGAGCCTCAGTTTCCTTATCAACTGAATGTCAGGAATTTCTGTTCTACCTGTCTTAGTGGCTTGTTGCAAGGATCAAATGAGATACTATATGTGAAAGTACATGGAGGGCCAGCCAAGTGGCTCAGTTGGTTAAGAGTTAGCTTAAGAGCGTGAGCTCTGAGCAACAGGGCCACCGTTTTGACTCCCACATGGGCCAGTGACGATGCATCCAAGCTGAGCTGCCAACAGGTGGCAGGATGGGCTCAGCTGGTGAGAGCACGTGTTACTAACAAGACTGCCTATTCAGTGGTGGGCTATGCCCGCCCGCAGCTAAGACTGAACTCGGCACCTTGAGCTGAGCTGCCGTCCAGATGGCTCAGTGGATAGAGCATGTGCTCATAACAACAAATCTGCCGGTTCGACTCCCGCATGGGATGGTTGCTACACCCACCCACAACTAAGATTGTAACACAGCACCTTGAGCTTAGAGGACATGAGCTGCTGTTGGCAGCCAGATGGCGCCCTCCACAACTAAGCTTGAAGAACAGCAACTTGGCTGGTCCCCCTCCCCAATTCCCCAACACTGTTCCCCTCCCCCAATTCCCCAGTTTAAAAAAAAAAAGAAGTACATAGAAAGTTGTACAATACTGGTAATATTACTAATCATATAAATATACAATGAAAACAAATTTCAGAAGCTTTTCAAGAAAATTGCCTCTTGAGAGTCTGTTTTCAAGATTTCTTGAAATAAGTTTGGTAATAATGTTGAATTTGACAAAGATTTTTTTAAATGCTTTTAAAAGTGCTATATCTAGTCACTCTCTTAAATTGGCCACATAGATCTTTTTTTACTAAAGAACAGGAATAATTCTTCAACCCTCTTTAAACAACATTGGAGTAAAACAAAAGTAACTCCCTAACACCTGAGCTGAGAGCAGTACTAGGTATAAATCATGTAACATTTTTTTATACTTCTGAAAGTGCAATGTGTTATACAATAAATTCTTTGTCTTCACTTTTTAAAAGAGGATTTTGTAATTAATAGAGAACCTTCACCTCCCTTCCCTGACACAAGTGAAAAATAAAAATGCATTTTTTGTTCACATATTTTTTTTGGTGGAAGGTATTTAGGAGGATATGCTATGTCAGGTAGTGTGATAAAGAGGAAAAACAATAGGGTTCGGCAGCATAAAAACTGAGTTTTCAGCTCTATCACTTTAGGGCAAGTCACTTAATCACTGAGGCTCTGTTTACTCGTATGAAAAATGGACATACTTCTGTCCCCTACAAGGCTGTTATGTTTAAGGTATTTAATGAATTGTAAAGCATTTTATATATAAAATGTTAGTTATAATTTTTCTCTGTCTTAAATTTTCCTTTGAAGAAAAATAAATTACTAAGAATAAAGAGCTACCTGTATAGAATTTGAGTGATAATANTTATTACTTGCAATGGCATTTCCAACTTTAAAAAAAGGATTATCTGAGAGCCACTTCCTCCCCCAGAGTTTGGTTTACTTTGATCCCTTGGAGCTCAATATTGACCAGAAATACTTCTCTTAATCCTAAACTACTATGGGCAGAATAGTTCCCAGTGAAGTTTCTTTGTCTGCCAACTCTGTAGTAAGTTTTGTAACATACAAAAATAACTTAGTAAAAATTATTACATACACCATGTCTGTATCCTTTTTTGTTGACTCAATACTGTTCTTCAGTAACTTCTTAATCTTAAATACTCCCACCACCACCCACTTCCTATCCGGTGAAAAAACCCCGGTCAAACCTTGAAAGGCAAGAACTTGATGTCCTGCTGCACTGACGGGTCGTTCCACGTGCGGCCGATGAGCCGCTTGGCGTCGAAGACCGTGTTCTCAGGGTTGGAGGTGAGCTGGTTCTTGGCTGCATCGCCGATCAGACGCTCCCCTTCAGGTGTGAAGGCCACATAAGACGGCGTGATGCGGTTACCCTGATCGTTGGCGATGATCTCCACGCGGCCGTTCTTGAACACCCCGACGCTGGCGGAAAAAAAACGAACGCAAGAAATCAGCACAACGATCATCACGGCAACCCAGGAGGCCACGCCCCACTACCCCCCTTTCCTTCCACAAATTCCACTTACCAGGAGTAGGTGGTCCCCAAGTCGATGCCGACCACCGTGCCCACGTCCTCTTTCTTGTCCTCCTCCTCGGCCCGCGCCGCGCCGAGCAGCAGCAGCAGCACCGCAGCCACCAGGGAGAGCTTCATCTTGCCGGCGCCGTCAGCCAGTCAGCACGCAAGTCGTGGCAAGCAATCCAGACTCAGGCCGAAGCACGGGAACGCGCAGAGATTACCAAGCTGAGGGTGACAAAGCCCGGGGTCAGGAGGAACAGTGGACTAGACGGAGGGCAGATCCGGGAAGGCAGGCCACGGAGCTTACCTCTCACACTCACAAAATTCCCACACTCACAAAATTCCCAAGTCAGTGTCTGTGATGTCTCGGCAAGCTACAACCGGGCCGCCCCGACTCCGTTTATATACCCTCCCCACCAGCCCCGTCGTGGAAGCCGCCGATTGGCCAAGACTCTGCTAGTTGGAGGCCACTGATTGGTCCAGGCCACCAAGCTGGCCGCCGCCGATTCGAAGCGGCCTCCTCTGCAAGTAACGTCACGGCTACGCCCCCCGGGCGGACTCATTGGCTGTTGGTCTTGCCCAACAACCACCAATAGGAGGTCACATCCGTTCCCGTGCGCTGGCTCCATTGGTTCAGCAGCTTGTCCGTCCCCCGTGCAACCTCTCACCTGGAGGTCGTTTCCGCCGGTAACCACGGAGGTCCCGCCTCCACGCTGGGCCTTTGGGAACTGGAGCTGGTCTGCACCGCCTGGTTACGCCGAGGCGATGGGACTTGAGTCATTTGTTTCTCCGCTTCCCGCCTGCCCATCCTTCGTCCCTCATCCCGAGGCGGGAAGCGACTCTTCCTCCTCCGGGCTCCATCCCATCCCGGGCAGGCAGTTCTCAGCGTGAGATGCTGCTATCACCTAAGAACAAATGTATTTCTCTGCCCTTCATAGCCACTACCGGTACTAGACTGTCCGAGCCTCAGGGCCTCTAGTTCACTGGCCCGCAGCCCTCGAGCCGGGGCCTTGGTCTGGACACCGCCCGGTAGCAAATCATGGCTCCTAGTCAGTATGTCGCCCCTGCAACCCCTACCCNTTTAATGATATATCTGTCAAGTCTTAAGAGAATCCAAGCAGCTATCCAGTATCATTAGTAATAAAAAGGCTACCAGAAAGACAGTTTTAGAAAGATAAGGGAAAACAGGAAATTTCCAATGTTCAAGAAAACTCCAAGCTTGGACACTGTGAAATGGCTCTTCCCTTAATGAGTATATGGGTGAACCTCCCACTCCTTTTCTTAAAGTTAGGCAAGTTCCCTGAAAGAATGGAATAAAAATGTTTCCTTACTTCAACTCCCCACCTCCACCATGAGAATCTAAACTTAAAATGACTGACTTAATTAGAAAGCTTATCACAAAAAATTAGACCGGTGTAAATAACAAACATTTATTGGTGTCATTTATGGTAGAAAATAAAGTTCCTCCACCAGATGCACATGACCCAATTGTTAAATAGAACGTTTCCATGGTGACAACACGCCCTAACCCAGCTTTTTTACCCACTTTTTAAGATAGCCAATTACTCCTCTCCCCCCACCCCAAGACATGAGCAACTGCTAATGAAAAGCAGTAAACGGCCACTTGGGCTGTAGCATTTTCAACTCCACTCCAAGGTGAAGATTCCAATTACATTCGAGAATTAAGTTCTCAATTTTCTCCTAACGAAAGTTCCTGAGTCCAGTATTTACAATAGTACAGCACTAGCAGTGTCTACAACTCGTCTTTGTCTGCTGATTCCTCATCACCAGTTGGGGGAGGGCCTGCACTTCCATAGAGTTTGCTGATAATTGGCTGAACAATTTCTTCTAGTTCCTTCTTTTTAGCTTTGAAATCTTCAATGTCTGCATCTTGGTGACTTTCCAACCACTCAATCTTTTCCTCTACGGCTTTTTCCATGGTCTCCTTATCTTCGGAGGAAAGTTTACCTCCCAGCTTTTCTTTATCTCCAATCTGATTCTTTAGCGAATAGGCATAACTTTCCAATTCATTTCTAGTATCAATGCGCTCCTTGAGCTTTTTGTCTTCCTCAGCAAACTTCTCTGCATCATTAACCATCCTTTCAATTTCTTCTGGTGTCAGGCGATTTTGGTCATTTGTAATTGTGATCTTATTTTTGTTGCCTGTACCTTTGTCTTCAGCCGTCACTCGAAGAATGCCATTCACATCTATCTCAAAGGTGACTTCGATCTGTGGGACCCCTCGGGGAGCAGGAGGAATTCCAGTCAGATCAAAAGTTCCCAGAAGGTGATTGTCTTTCGTCAGGGGTCGTTCACCTAGAAGTTACACACAAAGATCTTGTTAGTTGTTACTGACAAACATTAGTACATCTGGAACCCTGCATTTCAGTCTGTCAAGAGCCTGCAGTGGCCAGGGCGCTCTTATCGAGCTGGAAGTGGGTCATTGGGCTATTAAGGAGCAACAAATGGGACTAACAGTGAGTTAAGCCACTACTAACTCTTTAACTTAATTTCATCTACTTAATATCATTATGAACCTTTTTCTCTTGTTCTTGTATTCTAGAGCCAGCTCAGAAATGATTTTTAACGGGAAAGAATGCTAGATAGCTAGATAAGAACTGGATTTTAGTGCTGACTCTACCAAACTCAACACTAGTCAAATTTAGGGACCTCCCCGCATCTGAAAACAGCAGATATTTCTTTCCCTAGGCTCTTCCATACAGTATATTAAGCAAGAAGTCATGCTCTTCAAAAACATACCATGGTATTGACAAACGTAAGCAATTACCTTCATAAACTTTGATTGTAACAGTTGGCTGATTATCAGAAGCTGTAGAAAAGATCTGTGACTTCTTGGTGGGCACCACAGTGTTCCTTGGAATCAGTTTGGTCATGACGCCTCCCACAGTTTCAATACCAAGTGTAAGGGGACATACATCAAGCAGTACCAGGTCACCTGCAAAGGTACATAACATAGAGGTAAATTCTAATTAAAAAGTCACAGGAGCACTATCAAGCAGTGTCCCCAGGAACAATATAGCTTTACTCTCTCCATCTTGCTATTTGGTTAGGTTCTACACAAAACAATTTTAGAAGCAGTGAATTAAATATAGTTGCTCAGGATCTTGAAAGTGCGCCAGGTCTTGTCCTCACTGTACCCTTTATTAGCTGTGTGACCTTGTTGCTCACATTCTACTGCTTTCTAAAGCAACAGCTAATCATACTCCTCCCATCAAGCTGCTGAAGCACTGTAGAAGATGCTTATGACAATGACCTACCTGTATCCTGATCACCAGAGAGTACACCAGCCTGGACAGCAGCACCATATGCTACGGCCTCATCAGGGTTTATGCCACGGGATGGCTCCTTGCCATTGAAGAACTCTTTAACCAGTTGTTGGATCTTTGGGATTCGAGTAGAGCCACCAACAAGAACAATTTCATCAATATCCGACTTCTTCAAATCAGAATCTTCCAGCACTTTCTGGACAGGCTTCATGGTTGAACGGAACAGGTCCTAGAGTAAGAGACATAATTTGATGCTCGTTTACCCAGAATATTGTCTACATACCTAAATGCAACGTCCGAATCTCAGCCTAATTAGATCTTATTAACAAAGCAAAAAACAAGGAACATACCATGTTTAGCTCTTCAAATTTGGCCCGAGTCAGGGTCTCAGAGAAGTCTTCTCCTTCATAGAAGGACTCAATTTCTATTCTTGCTTGATGTTGAGAAGACAGGGCCCGTTTGGCCTTTTCTACCTCACGCCGGAGTTTCTGCACAGCTCTGTTGTCTTTCCTAACATCTTTGCCAGTCTTCTTTTTGTAGAGCTTGATGAAGTGTTCCATGACACGCTGGTCAAAGTCTTCTCCACCCAGATGAGTATCTCCATTAGTGGCCACGACTTCAAAGACACCATTATCAATGGTGAGAAGAGACACATCGAAGGTTCCACCACCCAAGTCAAACACCAGGATGTTCTTTTCCCCTTCTCTCTTATCTAGGCCATAAGCAATAGCAGCTGCTGTACTGTTAGGAGAAAAAAAAAGTTCAGTTAAGATTACATTTTCCCTAATTAGCAAACATACCATATCTTTGAATTTTAACACTTACGGCTCATTGATGATCCTCATGACATTCAATCCAGCAATAGTTCCAGCATCTTTGGTTGCCTGGCGTTGGGCATCATTGAAGTAGGCTGGTACAGTAACAACTGCATGGGTAACCTAAAAGCATGACAAAGGTAATTAAGTGTATCTTATCACATGGTTCAACCTTTATTTAAGTTACAGTCAAACCATCACTCTAGTTTCTAAGCTAGTTTATTTGTAAAATGGGCGTAATATATATNCAGCATCTTAGCTGTGGAGGGCAGTGTCACTGGCCCTCATATGTGGGATCCGAACCGGGGCCCTCTGGCATCCCAAGCCAATTCTTAACCATCGCACCACTTGGCCGGCCCCTGGTTTTTTTTAAACCTTTTAATTTTGAAAGCAGTTTAGACTTGCAGAAATTTGCAAAAATAGTAGACTCTCATATGTGCTTCACTCAATGTCCTCCAATCATGACATCTTAACACAGCAGGAAAAACTAGGAGGTTGATATTGGTACATTACTTTTAACTAGACTACGCAACTTATTCAGTTTCATCATTTTTTAAACCTGCATTTGTGTGCATGTATGTGTTTGTATATAGCTCTATACAGTTTTATACATCGATTCATGTAACCATTACCAAAATCAAGTTATAGAATTAATGCTGTTTTATTTATTTATTTATTTATTTATTTATTTATTTATTTATTTATTTATTTATTATTTATTGGCTAACAGTGTGTTCTTCCAGGACCCATTAACTCCAAGTCAGGAAGTCGGTTCAATCTGGTTGAGGAGGGAGTGGGGATTGAACTGGAAACCTTGGCGTTATGAGCACTGTGCTCTAACCAACTGAGCTAATTGGCCGCCCCGAATTAGTGCTGTTTTTTGATAAGCAGACATTTTGACAAACAAAACTTATCAATTATTTTCCTTTATGATTTTGTTTTTGTCTTAAGAACCTTTCCTTATCCTGAGATCAAGAATATATTCTTAATTATCTACTAAAAACTTAGTAGATAAATTTTACCTGCCTTTTCTAGATCTGTATAATTCACCTGGAATTGATTTTGTAATTACGTGAGTATATAGTGTGAGTCAAATTAATTTTTTCCCACATGGATGCCCAATTGTCCCAGCACCATTTTTCGTATTAGTATATTTGTTAGCATCTGTCTTAATTACTATAGCTATATAGTAAGTCTTGATATCTAGTAGAACAAGTGCTACCACATTGCTCCTTCGTCAGTATTGTGTTTGGCTATTCTTGGCACTTTGTATTTTCATGTAAATTTTGGAATTAGCCTATTAAGTTAGCAAAGCAAACCTGTTTAAGAGGAAAAAGCAGATTACTCAACACTGATACTACTATACTGTATATTTTTATTTTTATTATTATTTTTTAATTTTATTGGGGAACAGCCATGGTCATTGGTTACACATTGCTTTCATGCTACAATGGCATAGTTTACTTTTTTTTTTTTTTAGCTGGGCCATCCTGCCACCTATTGGCAGCTCAGCATAGTTGACTTTTTTAAGGAGGGCACATCACAGTGGACCATAGTGGGGATCTAACTGGCAACCTTGGTGTTATCAGCACCACACTCTAACCAACTAAGCTAACTGGCCACCCCCTATACTGTATTTTTTTTTTAATTGGGGAATTGGGGGATGAGAACAGCACTGGGGAATTGGGGGAAGGGGAACAGACAAGTTGCTGTCTTTTTGTTCTTCAGTCTAGTTGTGGAGGACGTTGCTTCACTGGCCCAAGNCAACGAAAATAATTTTATAGTTGGGGGTCACCACAACATGAGAAACTGTATTAAGGGGTCGTGGCATTAGGAAGGTTGAGAACCGCTGCCCTATACTGATCAAGGTAACCACTGTCACCACTTTCTTGTGGTAGCCTTCTAGAGATGTTTTATTGATATGCAATGTGTGTATATGTGTATCCATGTTTTAAAATCAGTGATTGTGCATACCACACACATTGTTCTGCTCCTTTATCCAGTTAGCTGTATTTCATGGACATTGTCACAAATCAACAGCCTTTGTTTTTATGTCAACAGTGGCTACCCTTAATTGAGTATCTATTATGTACCGGATGTTTTACATATTTTAAACCTTTTTAGTATACATTACAATGTGAATACAGAAAAGTACATAAAAAATAAATGTACATTTTAACAAATAATCATAAAGTGAATCCTCAGGTATTCAGTATCCAGGTCAAGAAATAGAATGTTGCCAGGAACCAGAAGTCCTCATTTTTACCCCTAACTGATCAGTATTCCCCCTTTCATTAAAAAGAAAAAAGAAAAAACCACACATTTCTTTATTGTAATAGTTTTTCGAATTTTACCACCTAGATATACTTCCTCAAACATGATGGTTTAGTTTTACCTGTATTTTTACTTGATGTGCTAGTGGAATTAGAATAGTATATATTTTGTGTTTGGTTTCTTTCATGCAACTTTGTTTTTAAGTTTTATCCTTATTGTTAATATGTAGCTCTTCATTCATTTTCACTTTTGTATAGTATTAGAATATATCACAATATAGGATATATATAGATTTTTGGCTATCATGAACTATGCTGCTGCGAACATTCTTCTACATGATTCTTGGTACACACATGTATGCATTTCCCCAGGGTGTATGACCAGGATTAGAATTTATAATCAAAAGGTTTAAATATCTTCAACTATAATAGATGATGGCAAACTGCTTACCAAAGTGGTTGTGAAAACATACACTCTCACTAGAAGTGTGTGAGAGTTCCTGGTGTTAACAACATTGTCAACACTTGATAGAAACTTTTTATTTGACAATCTTGGGCATATGTACTGGCATCTCATTGTGTTTTTAATTTTAATCTCCCTGATCACAATCGAAGTCGTGTGTGCCTTTTCATATTTTACTGGTCATTTCAAGTTCTTTTCTAAAGTTGCCCATTTCATTGTTGAGTTTTTTATTTTGTAATTAATTATATTCTAGATATTAGTCATTTTCTTAGTTATATGTATTGCAGGTATCTTTTTCCACTCTGTGGCATGTGCTTTCACTTCCTTACCGGTTTTTTTGGTGTTTTTTTTTTTT